AAAACTGGGAATATCCACAGCCAGGGAACGGCGGGGACAATCCAGAGCCGCTGGAATGGCTGGGATAACTGAAAGCCACGGGAATGGCTGGGGTGATCCAGAGCCATCGGGATGGCCTGGATAATAGGCTTTGCTTTTCTTCCTGTATTTCTTTTATAGAACATTGTGTTTAGAAATAAATATATGCAATACTAAAAACCAGTCTATACTGGCTTTATCTTCCCAGTGTCTTATTTTTCATGGGCAAAGCAGAATGGTAAGAGGCAGAGAGAACTTTTAAAAGGTTCATATATTTTCATTTCAGCACTTATACAGCATTTTCCTGTGTGATCCTTCCTCCTCCTTTTCTAGAAGGTGCTAGGATGTGTGTGCCTGCATAAGAACACCCAGGACCACACGTCCTCTGAGAGAGCTTTGCTGTAGGCAGTGAATGAAGCAGTTCAAGGTATCCAGCTACATCTGCAGTGTGTAACACAAGTTACACCAGGACTTTTGCTTCTATTTCTGTTACCACTTGCATTGGAGTCATTGAGTACAACTGCACTTAGGCTCTTGCAACTGCACATATAGAAAAGTGTAATACTTGGGGGAAGAATCAATGTTTGATTGTTCTTGTATAATTTGCAATTAGTAGATATTATATGACACAGAGTATCATTTTTTGTGATGGTTCTGTTGTCTAAGAAATTACATAATTTTTTCTTTCTCCTTATATTTCCACCTGATTCTGTTTATGGAATCATTCTGAAAGAAGGAAGCATCTCCTGAGAAACAGGTGTAATCCTTACAGTACATCTGAAAGTTTTCTAAAATTGCATTTCTGTTCAAACTCCAAGCCTTCTTTTACTTACCTTGAAAACAGATTTGTATTTCTGATGCAATTTCTACATCCTGACGAAGTTTTTTGTCATCAGTTTACACAGCTTGGGTGATTTCAGAGCAGCTGTATGGATTACACACCAGGAGAGTACGTGGCATTACAGCTGCTTCCAGTGCAGCAGAAAGGCCTTGGATATCATACCAAAAATAGCTTCTTGGATTTTTCACAGAAGAACATGCAATATCTTGTACTGGCAATGCTGGGCAAAACTTCTGCTGATCTTCTGCGAGTTTTAATTATCACCATGTCTTTCAAAATGTGTGGGCTGCTTGCACTGCAAGTGACCTTCGCACAAGGCCTCTGTGCTGTCTAAACACATTTGGTGTAGCAGAATAATCAGCARTGAGTAAGCCAAATGATGATTTTAAGCCTCTGCTTTCTCTTGCAAGTAGCTATGTGACAGTAATGTGCTCTGGGAAGCTCTTGTGGAGAACCTGCATGACACAACCACACCTGAAATGAAAGAGCACCCACAGGAGGGTGGGCTGGGAACCTCCACACACACAAATGTCAGCTACAGCTGCAGCTCCAAAGGAGGAAGAAGCAACGTGCTCAGAGCAAAAAACTTTTGCAATTTTCATTGAAACAACTGTTCTAAGGCATGGCTGTTTATTGGGTCAGACACATGGAATTGTCTTTTCTAATAGGGAAAAAAAGTTTTTTTAAGGATTGAATGAGGAAAAACAAAATATGTCTTACAACAGCAACATGTAAATATTACAAAGTTTAATATGTTGGGCATCCTGAAATTGTGTTATAATCAGCATCATTTCAGTTACTRAAATAGAAGAGGTTGTGGCTACTTTGTACTTCTTCATTCTGACTTCTCTGTTGTGTATCTATGCTACAGGTGCTCCATGGCTTATACAGATGCTATGGCATGGCCATTTATAGAGGCTGATAAACACATCATTTACAATTGACTAGATTTAGGATCCAAGTATTAAAAACAACTATTTCAGTATTTGGATATAATAGTTTAATATTTGAAGAGTGTAGGAGTTCACAATTTTTTAACATGCCAAGTACTAAACTTGAATTTTATAAATTGATGAAAAACCATGAACACAGGGTTCTTGTATCATTCTGTTTCTTTATAAACCAGGACTTAAATATTTAAATAACTGCTGATTTAGATTAAGTTTTTTTTGTTCTACCACAACTATACACCAATATTCTGGAAACATTCAATGATTGCTGATCTTTAGATATAAGAAACACTTCCATATATATTTTTTCCTCTTTGTGATTACTTCATTTTAGGATAATGAAAAATACAAATTTCATTAAGTGGCTAATATAATGTACTAGCTTAATAAATGAACAGAAACTGTATTTTGAGTAACATATGGCCCTGTAAGGACCTCTATAGAAAGATATATAGCAGATATCACAAGTGAACAACATATTATTTGTTACTGTAAAATGCAAATAAGTTTGGTTTTGACAAAAGACAAATTGAAGATCTATGTATAAAGGGTACATATCTTTCAAAAAGAAAAAAAAAGGAAAATGAGGCAAATCATCGTTTCAATATATATTTCACTGATAAAAGACAGTTCAGCTCAAATGAGCTATCAGCAGCATTCCCACCAAGAAGACATTTAACCTGTAACAAAGAACTGATATGAAAATTTACGTGCAAATTTTCTCCAATAAAAAAGCTGATTTTAAGAAGTTACTGTGTTCACATTGTGTGCTGCCATTCAGTGCCACCTCAGTTGTCTTATGTGAGTTTTAAAGGCCATACAWAACTACCCTATACGATTACACTGATGTAAATCTTAAATTAGTTCAAGGTTTCTTAAGGTTTTCTCTTTTAATTGGCTTATTTCAGTGATCTATTTTAATGTATGTCCCTGCACRGTTGTAGAAGTGCAACACTTAGAAGCTGGTGAGTTGCAATACAGAGCAATACACATTCAGACCTTTTTGTTAACCAACCTTGCAGCTACAAAGATCAGGATATTGATATTGTTGCATACTGAACTGTTTTGCAATAGTTCTTCAATATAATTGAATAGTTTCAATTGCTTTTTAAGGAATTCCAGCAGCACAGAGCAATATTAAACTAAGAACCTGATTTGTCATGCAAAGAACTTTAACAAAGCTAAGAAGATGAAAACTTACAGTGGCTCTTACTTGATAGGAAAATTAACATCAGACTCACCTCTCAAAGCTGAAAAAATTATGTCCTGTACCACCATACAATACCTTCTGCATCAGTTATCAGGTGTTCAATGTTAAGAAAATTTACTTCAATGTTTTAAATGCTCTTTAGCTGTTCCATGCTCTGCAGTTTCTAATTTTCTAGTGAATAAACTTCTCAAACATAATGAATCTTAGTCAGTTTGTGGTGTACATTATGAATAGCAATATGAATGCTCACATGTAACAGGGTTTGTGAACAATTAAGTTATAACAAAATTTAGTGTGCTGTAGTAGACTTTGTTCCCATGGAAGGAGTCAGTGGCAATGTTATTAAATTCTACAATAACTAATTACATAAAGGGGCCAGAGACCTCCAACTGTTTCTGGAAACATTTTCCAGTCATAATAATATTTTCCATATGTTTCCTGTTTCTGCATTTATGGTCTTTTTTCTTCAAATGCATTAAATGTCACAGCATTGATAATGCAGCCTATGTATTGAGGATGGCTACTTTAGATACAGTTGATAGTTTAAAAAAATAAATTAAAAATCATTGAAGCAGAATCACAGAAAATTCTGAGTTGGAAGGGACCTATTGAATCCATATGAATAACTTCGGAAATATATGAGAACTTTTCTTCAGATGTGCATCACAGAAATACTAATTTTAATACACTAAATTAATGGAGTTATTATAGTAGCATTTCAACAGTACTTGAATAGCCAGACAAGAAATACAATCATTTTCTTATACTCAGTAACTCTTCTTTAATCAGATTGAACACATAGTAGGAAGGACTTTATAAATCATTCATGTCCTGATCAAATTCTCTCGTAGGACTAGTGTAAATCAGAGTAACTGCATTGCAGTCAATGGATTTTCACCRGTATTAATGGTGAAAAGTTAAAAGAGAAGCAAGGGTAAGGGCTCTTAGCATTGTTCTAATATTAAAAGACTAGCAGTGTGCTTTTAGTCACTGTATTTGGTAGTTCTATTGTAAAATATCTTTACTAATTTTAAAAGCATATTTCTAATAATTTATTAGCATTAAGAAGCACATTTGCTTTTCACTTAAGTGCAGCTCAATGTGGTTGGTTCTGTAAGAAAAACATATTCATACTGTCACACAATAGAAACATGAAAACAAAAAAGTTCTGTAAAAAAAACTTCTGGAACTTGTTCTATACTTGTGCTTCTTCTGTAGATTCTTCTTTTGGTTGCATCTTTTGAATACAAGGCTGTATAAGTAAAAATATTATTCCCACCATGTATAGCAATCCAGCTATGTAAAAAGAAAAATCATATTTTTGTGTGATGTCATAGATCCAACCTGGAAAATAAAGACAAAACATGTTTGAAAGCTTGACCAAGAAGTACATTGCATGACAAAATACAAAAAAATTCTTCACATTCCTTTCATGATATTTCTGTCAAATCCATAGATGCTTTGTGGAAAAAAATATTTTTTTAATAAGTCTGACTTTCAAATCAACACTTTGTAATCCCAAAACAATTAGTTCTTCCACCCTATCACTGCCTCTGTAAAATGTACTGGTTAGTTCAAATGCTGTGCCTTGTGCAAGCAAACACATTCCCCACTGCTGTCTCCAAGACTCACATACCAATAGAAGACTGTTCAAGAGATACAATCTCAGTATAGCAACGCCTCTCATTCCAACATCAATTCCTTTGCAAAAACACATTAAAGTTACTTTGGGAAGGCTTGAGAACCCAAACCAGCAAAATTCCCTCACACCACACTGGTTGTACTGCAATGTACCCACAAGATCAGAAGCTCTATTTACATCAGCTACTTGCATCCAATTTGCTTCATAAGCAAAGGCCAAACACAGAGACAGGTTTAGCACAGGCTGGAAGGTGCTGAGGGAACATGGCAGAGTTAAACACTGCTGCTTTTCAAGGGGCACTGAGCGGGCTTTCTTCTCACTCTCATCGCTCACTCAGCTGTGGGGAGAGACGGAGCTCTTGCTTTTCTGGCTGTTTGTGCTGCTGCCGGCTGCCCTTCAGCCTCCAGCTGCCTCTGGCTCACCATGGCCATGACTCCCAAGGTTTCTTACCATTTTTTTCTGATCAGCACCTCTGTAAAAGAGAGGTGGAGTCTGGGATAGTACGGACAATGAGTACCTGCATCACTTCTGTACTCCCCCACCTCTTTCTATGAGAAAATCTGTAATGAACATCTGTTTAATCCTAAGCAACTCTAGGGGTAACATATATACATTTCTCCCTTCTGCTGGGGATGGCAGTAAAGTGGTTATGAGCAGTGCAGTTCCCAGAGTAGGTATTTCTGGCTGAAGRAAGGTAAAGCAAAGTTAGTTAACACATCCACTGGCAGCTTGGAGTGGTGACACCCAAACACCCAGCACAGTCCTTGGGGTAATGCCGTGGTACAAACAGCTGCCTACCCTGAGAACTACTCACCATTTTTTTCATGTGGGTAGAGGAATAAGTATGTAGAGTGCATATACTACACAAAACATGAAAAAAATAGATTGCATCTTTCTCAAAAAAAAAAAAATTGAAGTTTATGATACTATTTTAAGGAAAGATACCAATGTAAGGATAGATTGTAATAGATTTGGGGTTATGTCAAAGAACTGTAATTTGCAATGTGAGGACAGTGAGCTGGAACCCAGTAGATATGACCTGTTGATCTATACAATGTAAAGCTGGATGTTAGGTCCATTCTGGAACAGCTGTGATTTTGTTAACTACACATGCTCATAGCAAAAGGAAGTTTAATAATATAAAGAGTAACATGGTCATTACACAAACATCTGTTGGTTAGAATTTGAACTTTTTACCTGCAAAGGGTGGTCCAAACAAAGCAGATATTCCATTGGCACAAATGATGATGCCATAGGCATTTGCAAGGTGTTTAGTTCCAACTAAATCTTCAGTCACAACAGGCATTAGAGAAAAATAGCCGCTAGAAAATCCTATTAGAGCACAAATCACAGCCAGGCCAACGTATGTTTGCATTAGTGGCAAAGTGAGAATGCAGGTGACCAGGGTGAAGTTAGCCATGAGGAAGACATTCCATGTGCTGATGCAYGGGAGATCAGAGATGATTCCAAGGATCACTTTACCAAAAATATGAACAATGGCTATAATGGATGTCAAAGGAAATACATTGTCCTGSCTAGACAAGTTGTACTGCTTGACTATTTCTGGAAGGTGAATAAAAGGAATGACAAAGCTGCTATAGGCAAACAAAGCCCAAATGATAAAGGCCACAAATATTCTATTGGTAAACAGGGATGCAGCTCCGAAGTAGCTGGAGTACCAGAGTGCAAAGCCCTTCCTGACTGTAACTGTCAGCTGGCTCACTGTCTTAAGGATGCGCAGTCCATACATACTCCTTCCACTTCCAGATTTACCTCCAATTTCTATGTGCTGCACACTGCCAAGCACTTCTTCATTTGCTGCCTCTTCTTTTTTCTCTGGTTCTTCACCATTAGATTTTATAGTCATTCCATTAGATTTTATAGTCTCCGTAGAATGGGATGCAGCTTTTGCCTGGTTTTCTTCACTATCACTTCTCACCACGTATTTTTCACGGAGATCTTTGGGAGAGAGTGGTCTCATCAGCGCGCCACAGACACAAAGATTCAGGGAGATGGCTCCCTGGATGAACATGGCATCCCTCCACCCAAATTCAGTGCAGAGGTACTTCAGCAAGGCAGTCATTAGGAAAGCTCCAAAACCTGTTCCCGTGGTGCTGAGCCCTTGTGCAAGTGCTCTTCTCTTCTGAAAATACTGCCCTACCATGACCACTGCAGGCAGATAAACCATGCCACTTCCAATGCCTGTGAAAAAAAAATACTGACTAAATAAATCTGAACTTTTTGCCAACAAGTTAAAAAAGCMGTGAAAAACAAATCAGTTTTATTCCTAGCTTTTCTATAGGCATAGTAGTAAACCAAATAATAAATATTCAATTCTGATGTTAGCTTTCTTTTCTGTCTTGTAGTGTTTTCCAAAATCTGCAATAGTCATCCCAGTGAGAATATAATACTGATATTAATTGCTAATAATTAAAAACTAAACAAAYGGAATATAAAACGTTTACCTTAGGTCAGCATGACAACACTGGAAAATTACAAATGTCCTACAACCAATCAGTGACAGCTACTATGATGACAAACACAGACACAGCCTATTTTGAAATATCTGCATTTATGATACCCACATCTGATGGTATCAGTGACCTGAACTGCTTAGTGAGCACATCTTGTTGYTTTCACCTAAGCTCCCCAGCAATGAAGATGCACACTGAGTTTCTGTCCTTGTTCAGTAAGTGTGGAGCCATAGTGACCGTGACATGTGTTTGAGGACTCAGCAATGGGGTTAGTGCTGTGTTGGGACCTCAGGTGGCTCCCGGGTTGGTTCTCTTTGGGCACTCCGGGAAGTCCAGGGAGGGTCCCACAGGAGCTGCTCAGTCTTATAAGGTAGATGTGTAATTCTGTAGAAAACCCCTCACCTGTAGTTAAAAAACAGGGTATTCACAGCATATACTTTGAGCAGAAAGTGATGAGTTGTGCAAACACATCATTAGAAGTAAGAGTTCACCAGCAAATTCCTCATAGAGAAATTTGGATTGGAAGAGGTGTAAACAGAAGATGCTTCCCAATTCACTCTGATCATAATTCAGMAGTGTTTAGTGGCTTAGAAGTTTTCCTAGTTAGGTATTAACATAGATGCAAGCAGCTACAGCATGATCTAGCTACAGCTAGGCCGGAAAAAGCCGTGATTCCAGAAAAGCCTGAAAAAAGGCTCTCAACATCGCAGCAGTGACCCTGGCTGGAGCTGACCTGTTTTGCTTGTTAGATGTATTTATTTCTTTCCTAGCAAATACACAACTGCGCTTTTATTTTGCACAAGTGTCCCCCTGAGGGAGCTGTGAGGGGCTGGGGAAGGGAAGGAGCTGAGGGAGCTGTGAGGGGCTGGGGAAGGGAAGGAGTTGAGGGAGATGTGAGGGACTGGGGAAGGGAAGGTGAGCTGAGGGAGATGTGAGGGGCTGGGGAAGGAAAGGTCCTGCTGAGGGAGATGTGAGGGGCTGGGGAAGGGACGCTGAGCTGAGGGAGCTGTGAGGGGCTGGGGAAGGGAAGGAGCTGAGGGAGATGTGAGGGGCTGGGGAGGGGAAGGAGCTGAGGGAATTGTGAGGGGCTGGGGAAGGGAAGGAGCTGAGGGAGCTGTGAGGGGCTGGGGAGGGGAAGGAGCTGAGGGAGTTGTGAGGGGCTGGGGAGGGGAAGGAGCTGAGGGAGTTGTGAGGGACTGGGGAAGGGAAGGGAAGGTCCTTTGTGCCTTCGATCCCAACCTCCTGTCTCCACTGCAGCCACCCTCAGCACACCCTGAAGGACCCTCAGCTCAGCGTCCCTTCCCCAGCCCCTCACAGCTCCCTCAGCTCAGCGTCCCTTCCCCAGCCCCTCACAGCTCCTCACAGAAGGTGAGCTGAGGGAGCTGTGAGGGGCTGGGGAAGGGA